CCAGTTAATAATTTGAACTTGACGATTTGAACTATGTTTAACCCATATCCGCGCTGATAGCCCTATTCAAAGTAAAACCAATTCAATAGTTATTCTTTTAGTAAGTGCATGACAGCTAAAATACATCCAAACATTTTTTTTTAAAATATGACTTTTGATAATATAGGTTAAATGCAAATACCCGTGAGAGCTTTATCGCGAGTATTCCATCTCAACCACCCACGCTAATTGAATATCCGTGTTGTAGCGACGCTAAGCTTTCTTAATTAGAGTAGGCTATAATACGATCTTAGCAATAAATTTGTGAGTTTACAATATTATTATAATGTATGAGTAAAGGTTTTAATATGCAGGTCTATTTATTTTCTTTGTCTGATTTCTTATGGAAAAAAAACATATCTATGCAACACTTTAATTAATATTTTTGGGAGATTCAATAAGTCAAGAGTCATTTTATTTAAATATATATATATATATTGTCGGTTTCTATATTAAAGCAGGAATACAATTTGAAAAATATATTGAGAAATATTTTTTTTCATTCTTTTTATTTTTAGTGATTTTAGCAAATAATTATTTAAATACGATTTTACCATTTAAAAAAAAGGATGAAAATGCGCGTGAGAAGCGTTTAAATTTGGGATCCGCCTCTGGCACTTGATTCAGCGCCGCTGATGTGCACTGTCGTCTATTCCCGCTGTCTGATGATTTATCTGCAGACGAGCTCTTCAATCTTTCGTGCCAGACACAGAGACACAGCTGCTAGAGCGCCAGAGGCAGGAGTCATTGAGGACCTCGTTGAGAGAAGTGGTACAGGATGGTAGGAGTCCTTTAGGACCTTGTGGAGAGAGAAGTGGTACAGGATGGTAGGAGTCCTTTAGGACCTTGTGGAGAGAGAAGTGGTACAGGATGGTAGGAGTCCTTTAGGACCTTGTGGAGAGAGAAGTGGTACAGGATGGTAGGAGTCCTTTAGAACCTTGTGGAGAGAGAAGTGGTACAGGATGGTAGGAGTCCTTTAGAACCTTGTGGAGAGAGAAGTGGTACAGGATGGTAGGAGTCCTCAAGGACCTTGTAGAGAGAGAAGTGGTGCAGGATGGTAGGAGTCCTCAAGGACCTTGTAGAGAGAGACGTGGTACAGGATGGTAGGAGTCCTCAAGGACCTTGTAGAGAGAGAAGTGGTGCAGGATGGTAGGAGTCCTTTAGGACCTTGTGGAGAGAGAAGTGGTACACGATGGTAGATTCTTTAGGCCCTTGTGGAGAGAGAAGTGGTACACGATTGTAGATTCTTTAGGACCTTGTGGAGAGAGAAGTGGTACAAGATGGTAGGAGTCCTTTCGGACCTTGTAGAGATTGATGTGGTACAGGATGTTAGGTTCTTTAGGACCTTGTGGAGAGAGGAGTGGTACAGGATGGTCGGAGTCCTTTAGAACCTTGTGGATAGAGAAGTGGTATAGGATGGTAGGTTCTTTAGGACCTTGTAGAGAGAGAAGTGGTACATGGTGGTAGGTTCTTTAGGACCTTGTAGAGAGAGAAGTGGTACATGGTGGTAGGTTCTTTAGGACCTTGTAGAGAGAGAAGTGGTACAGGATGGTAGGTCCTCTAGGACCTTGTGAAGAGAGAAGTGGTACAGGATGGTAGGTTCTTTAGGCCCTTGTAGGGATTGAAGTGGTACAGGATGTTAGGTTCTTGTGGAGAGAGAAATGGTACAGGCTGGGTGGTTGACGTCCTCTATGGCATTGTCAAGAGAGAAGTGGTAGAAGTTGAGAGGCTTCCTCCATTTCTGGGTTGAGGAATTTTTAACTTCGAAAAGTGGAGTTTGATTTATCACCGTGTAGATTTTCAAGGGTTGCTTTGCGTTTATTTTCGGATGAGTGGTGGTAATGGAGAGAGGACTGGGTGGTTCTCATGTTGGTTGCCTAAGGTGAAGAGTTGGTGTCGGGTGGCAATTGCCTCTTGCCTAACTGAAGTGGTCTGTGACGTAGCAGCGATTTGTTTTGATTTGTCATGAGGTAATTTGTACATTGTTGATTTTTTTCCATTTAAGTTTTTGTTAATGTAAGGTTATTTCTGACAAACTTGGTGATTACTTATTGAAAGAAAAAGATACTCGCTATATTTGATAAACATTTGAAAATATACTGCTTATTTAGGCTTGTTGTTTTTGTATGTGTACATTTTCGGCAAAATGGACATTTCAACTGACCACTTTCTACTAATATGTTTAAGCTCTGTATCGATGTTTCATTTGCATATTTCTCATTAAAATGTGATTATATGTCTTGTACTATGTTTTAAATAAATGTGATGAATGAGATTTTTAATTAAATTTAATATATGTGAAAACACGGTGTTTTGCGATGATTTGACATATTATGTAACACCATTATCGGAAGTCTACAACTGTATTGAATGCTATTTAAAGAATATTTACTGTGTGGTATAATAATATGCACTACAGTAAATGGGTTAGATTTTACACATGAAACTAAGCGAGATTGCAATGTCGCCTTAATCGCGTGCTTACAATCTAAAAAAAAAACTACTTTGAAGTGCAGTCGTTAAACGGGATAATTACTCTGCATTTGATTGCATGCCAGCGTTTGATTAAAACATTCACTGGAATGATCGTACTGTAAAAGTAGGCATATTCGCGTGATAACCCTCGACCCTTTCAGCATATAAAATGTATTTTTCCCCCATAATCAAATCACAAAGGGGAATAACCTCGCCTAAATGCATTAGCTCCCTTTGTTTGTTTTTATACTGAAATCTTGTTCCCCCGATAAAAACAACTTGTAAACAACCCGTCTGTTCCCCGCTTAGACCAACACAGGCAGACTGGTCTGAACTTAACCCAAACACAAACAGACCCCGTATTGCTGACTGCCAGGGGTTTGGTTTATTTCCTCACCTGCCGATCCCCGACTCGCTAATGGAGAGCTTGACTGCTCGGCCTGGCATGTTCGTTGGCAATGTGACGTAACTTCCTGTACTTTAACATACACATTTTAGTTGTATTTTTTTTTGTTTCATTCGGCTGTTATTATGGAGTGTTTGGTTCGGCTACTTTAATAGTGATTGTTTTACGGTAAGATTAATTGTACCGCGAAGTAGCACAAGCCTAAGAAATGAAAACCATATATAGACCCTAAACCTAAATAATAGCCTGGCTCTAAACCCAAGACTGGCCAGATTTTTTTTATTTCTTGCGTCAATTGGAAACCACTTCTCATACTTATATTACTAACTATTATACAGTACCGAGCAAATAAACACATTTTTTACTTTAAAAAAACCCACCCGTTTCACTTTTTTGTAGCTATTTGCATAGACGACGAAATCGGATGACTAATTAAAAATTACTAAATACAGCAACATTTCTTGACACATTATAACACTAAGAATCATAAAATATTAATGGAACATAATTATGCGATTTTTTATTTTATTTTTTTTTTTAAATTTTATTATTGAATTCAATTTTTAAGCAATAACAATTCTGTTTGTATGGATGCTTGCAGTTATTTTCCTTTTTTAAAGGGACTATTCCGTGCCATTAAGAGTGGTTAAACAATCAATTGTACTCTCAAAACATAGCTACCCTGATTAAGCGGCCAAATATAGCCTACTCAATAAGTCATTTTTATAAATTTCAGTCAAGTAATACTTCGTGCAAAGACAAAACATCACGCATAGTTGATTGTGATGCTAGCGATTATACGTGCTGACATCTCTTACTAGATGTTCAGCTTCGTCAAGTCCATGCTTTAAACTTAACTGTAACTTAGAGCTATTCAACGAAGGCAAAATTATAAGACTGGAGGATTAAGTTTAAGAACTCTGATCGGTAATTTTTCAACGTAACATTGAAGCCACGATGACGCTAATTAGTCTTAAAGTCTCTCCCCACTCCTTTACCACACACCCACACACCCACACTATTCACCAGCCACGCCATCCCGTCACGAACTACCCAACAACACCCCCTCAACCCCAGTTTACTCACCCCCCCCCCCCGTCCTCGGCTGACACAAAATTAGAAAAAACCTGTACACGTCCCTCTATATTTCACATAACTGACGTCACTAAAGCTCAATTACTGTGATTTACAAAGGTGATTCGCTCACCTGTCGACACTCATTAGGCGGTGTGATGATTATATTGTGGAGCGTACAGTAGTACCGTAGGCCAAGATACCCAAGTTTTGTGACGGTTAGCTGTTAGGGCTGCCACTTATGTCTGGGTTTTGGTCAGGAACTGAGTTTATGTATTTTACGTTGGGGGTGGGGGGATTAAAACTTCTGGGGGGAGGGGGGGGGCGGTGAGGAGGTTGGTGCGCCCGCCTCAATCCCCATTGTTTAGGACGGTAAAGATACCTCTTTTTAATTCACCCAACGTGAGTTAGGTACCCATTAAAGCTAGGTGGACTCAAAGACTTGAACCTGAATTTGAGCACAGTTTAAGATTCGGGTAGGGTTTATTTCTAAAGTTTGATCCAGCGTTATATTTAGTACACCTTTGCGAGCAAACTAAGTAGCTCGACTTGTGTGAGTGTGTAGTTTGATACGAGATGGGCAACAGTTTTTTGGCTCCATATGTATGTTGCTATGGGTTACACAGAAACAACATACACTAAAAGTTCGCGTCGACCTGCTTAGATATTGTATACTGTATCCTTTACACCATCTCGTGTTCTCCCCTTTTCAACTTCACTCGTTTTGTCTTTGGAGTTGTACAGGTCTTTTCAAATACATGTTTACAATACAAATTTATCACAATGTACTGGTTTCAATAATGCATGATAAAAATATAACAACAGCATTAATGAAAATATAGGGTTTAATTTTAAAATATGCTTCATTATTGTTTCAAAAACGTCTGTGATAAAAATATTTTAAATAGTTTAAGAAAAAAACACCCGATTTTAAAAGCGGTAATTTAAATATGTTATGCCATGTTAAGATTTTTGTATTTACATTTTTTTTGTCACCTTGCTTCAGATTCTGGAAATAAATGAAAATATTCAGAAAAAGCGGATAAACATTCCGAAATAATTTGAAAACTAAAAGCAAGCCCCTGAGGTCACTTTGACCCAGAAGATTCAAGGAATATCTTAAACTCAGGTTGGTGATATTTTCCTACGTGTGATTTCTCTTAGACCATTTTACATTGTTAAATGTGGGTTTTCTCACAAACCGTATTACATTGTTAAATGTGTGATTTCTTATAGATCATATTACATAGTTAAATGTGTGATTTCTAGTAGATCATATTACATTGTTAAATGTGTGATTTCTTGTATATCATATTACATTGTTAAATGTGTGATTTCTCAAATACCGTATTACACAGTTAAATGTGATTTCTTATAGACTACAATGAGTTGCTGAACGTGTGATTTCATTTGACGATATTAAATTGTTAAACATGATATTTGTCATAGACCATGTCAAATTGTTGAAAACATCAGTTTCCTAAAGACCATCAAAAAGAGAGCAATCTGTTATATCTTAAAGAACTAAATAGATTATTGAATGTGAGGTTTGAACGTTGTTATAGCACTATTAAAATAATAAACACTATTGGTAATTTTTGCCAAAAAGAAAATCTAAACTAACAAACACTACAGCATATAATCCTAACCCTAACATTGTAAACCTGAGAGAATCTAAACTCACATATAGTACTGCATATAATCCTAACCCTAACTTAACATCGTAAACCATAAAATTGAGGCATCAATCAGCGAACACAAAAACTTTCGCTCTCTCCTGAATGTGTTTTTTATATTGTGACAAATACAATAGATAATCCTTGCTCGCAATTTCCTCCAACTTCTATTCTCAACAGTTCTCAACTAACAAAAAGCGTGTCTGTTTCTTGTGTAACATGAAACTAATTTATTTCATCTCAAATTTGGCTAGAAATATTATGCGTACATTTTCATGAAACAAGGCTATAAAAATCGTATATTTCATTGGAATGCGGCTATTAAAAAGATACGTACATATCCATTCAAGCTGTGTCTCACCGTTTAGCACCTAAGTATCAAACACCGCTCTCTTTTATCCCCAGGTAAGAGGTAAAATTATCTGCCGGTTTTGATTAGAGTGGCGTCTTACGTCTTTGCTTAGATAGCTCCGTGCGGGTTCTAGATAATTTGTTAAAAAACGAGGGGAAGTAACTCTACGCCGAATTACTCTTCTGTCATTAAACATAGATTTTATGCTGCTTTACTTTTAATTTATTTCATGATATTATTTATTTTCATGATATTATCCAATAAATCGGTTATATAAGCCTACTTTGTACTCGATAACAAAAAAATTGAAATTCCTTGGTTTTACATAAGAAATATGTCAGCAAATTTCTAGTTTATACTCGCTCAATTAGAACCAAATTACATTTTACCCTGGGAGACTTTTGTTACAAGCCATTTGTCGGTGGCACAGCGTCTTCGGTGACACCAGTAAATAACGAGAGAGTTGGCAGACTTAGGCTCAAGTGTCTGAAATATAAAGCGGCTTAAATTTCACTTCAACGGATATTTAGATTTTTAATTAAATCTAGGTTAAACGTAATTTTTTTAAAATGCTTGGCAAATGTTAAGTAGGAATTTTACGCAACACACTGAATTTAGAAAATAATTATTTAAAGTGTCTAACACCCCCCCCCCCCCCCACTAGCAACAAAACGTAGTAAGATTTATGGCCGAAGCTCACAAGTCTTAGCTACTTAAACCAGCTTATGTTAGCTGTTTGTTGTGTCATCGACTCGCCTTTTTGTTGTACAAACATCTTAACAAACAACAAACAGCGTACAGCATCCAGAGATCGCCTTCCGAGACGGTCGAGTTTTAATGCTTGCTAAATCGTTTTGAAAACGGTTACGTACTGAAGTCCTTTTTTTTTATTTCTCAGAAGAAATTAGTGAAAGTAAGAGCTTAAGTCATATTGTAAAGATTCCTCTTTAGATCTAGCGATCCATCGGACAGATGAAGTAGAATTCATTCGTTTCTTGACCCCAGCATATGAAGGGATAGCGTGGTCAGCACTATGCCCAGTCACCTTAACTTTCCTTAACATAAGTTAGGTGCCCATCACAGCTCGGTGGACTCAGGGACGTTCCACTGAGGTTAAACCGGATTCGAACTTGAGACTTTCGGGATTGTAGTTTAGCGCTGCACCGATAGGACATGTAGTCTGTAATTGCGCATCTCAGAAAAAAAATATTTTTAGGAAGTTAGTCTTTTATATAAGATCAAAATAAAAAAATTCTACTACCCAATAGTGGATATATGGGTGGAAATATAACCATTATACTATCTAATAATGAATATCAGAGAGAAAATGCAACTATTCTATGTGCTAAATACATGTTAGATATGTCCCAGACAAAAAACAATTCTACGAGCTAATTTGACCAACAGACCTTAACCCCTCCACCACACTATGTAGCCCTTCCACGTCCAGTAGATCAGCGCTAATCCTCCCCTCACGTTCTTGTATTAGTCTCGCGCTTTCTCGTCTAACTGACGAGACTTGAGCCAGCCCCCTGTAGTACAACTACTATTTCGTTCCGACTTATCCAATTATTTCTCAATAGCCTCATGGTTCAGGCTTGTCTCTGTCTGTCGTCCACTTCACGTAGACGACAAGTTTTTTCCCTGCGGTTTTTGTTCTCTTTTACTCTCTTTTTCTATTTTTTTCTGGTAGGGCCTATTTATTTTTTATAATTTACTTTTTGTTTTGTTTTACACTTTCTTTTTCTGATTTTTGTTTTTAATGTTTTCTTTTAGTGTTTCGGTTTTATTTAGCTATTTGTTTGGGTATAAAAAGCGTATTTGTTTATCTAAAATCAATTTAATGTACTTTTTAGTTGGTTATAACCTTGCTGATATATTGGCTGTTATGATTAAGTTTACAATAGAAGCTTTCTTCACAAAACCAAAATTAAGATTTACTATCTGGTAATTAAATCCACACAGTTGTTTTTTGTCTATATCAATTCTATTTCGTACTACAGGGACCTGCTCTAGTCTCTTTATTTAATAAACATGGGTGGGGAGGGGGAGGGGGAGGGGTATTGTCCTACTCAAGCTTTTGTGAAGGGAGGTAATATAAAAGGGGTGGGGGGAGTGAAGTCCTGGACCAGTTAATGCTTTAGTTAAGGTAAGGACCAAGATAATCAGAAAAATATACTCGATACTGCTTTCTTTAAAACAATTCATCATTTCAAGCAGTTAGGAAAAAAAAATTACACGTATTTTGCGTATGTAATTAAAAAAAATAATTGTAGGCCTACAGTTTATGATTTCAAAAATATTTCTTATGCACAATCATGGACAGGCGCAACATGAGAGTAAGGCTTTGAGTTTCGGCTGGGCACGCGTCTACTTTCCAAGAAAATACCCAGTTTATTTTCAAATCGTACTTTGTGTTACTTATAATATATTATAAAAATAATCTATTTTAATTTGATCTGTCGAGCATTAAAACGAGGCTTGCTAGGATGGAGAGAAATGTATGCCTGGGTAATTGCTACTCGGTCGTGATTCCTGAATCACGCTCGTACGAAAAAAAAACTGGCAAGGAAGGGGCCGACATAATGGATTTAATAGGGCATCAAAACTTGATATATATTTTTTTAGATATAAGTTTGCTATCTATATTTATGGTCGTCTTTGCTGGCAATATTCTCATAAACTTGTTTTTACAAGTTAGAGACTGGGGTAGGTTTCTCTCATGCTAAAATATCGACTTACTCTACTGTTTTTTTTCATGTTAGGTGAAAAAGCACTAAGACGATGAAACAAACTTTTGCTGTTCAATCAATTCCTTTGTCTCTAGCAGTTTTATAACCTCCATCCACTCTCGCATCAAACACATTCCATAAAATAAAATAAATATAAAAACATTTAAAATAACATGCATCAAAAAGCAAGGAAACTAGGGAAATAAAACTTAAACATTCACCCTGTTGATCAAGCGATCGCTAGTATTTAACCTTATCTCCCCTTTTATTATTAATTTAAAATAAAATTTTGATGATCAATCTAATATCTAATTAAATTAAAAACATTTCATTGCATTGTCGTCGAAGACCTACGTGTCTGGAAACGAAATCGCGGCATTAGAAGTGGGTTGAAATTGAGTTACACAATCTGCCTCAAACCCACAGACATTGTGATCGGAGTAAATACTTTATATATATATATATATATATATATATATATATATATATATATATATATATATATATATATATAATATATATATATATATATATATATATGAAGTTATTAATGATCAGTTTAAGAAAAAACCCGGATGTTGAATTATTAACCAACAGACTGATTTCAAGAAAAACACGTCGGTCAATGTCAAGGCCATGAGAAGCAAATTAGCTTTCTCTAACCTTGGGATTAGCGGGATTAACCAACTTTTTTAGCATCATTTAAGATATCGGTCGCAGTGGTAGCTTTAGATTACGAGGTGGGCGTAAATCCCCCCTCTCCCCGGGGATACAATGTAATCCACTGCACCACACCAAAACTATATTTATACCGGAATAATAAGTAGTAAATTTCCCTTTCGGACATGTCAGCCCACGCGACGGTGAAGTAGAGAAACTACTGGTCTGACACATAATTGTATACAATGGTGAAGGTCATCAAACCTATGACATCTGTCAAGGTCATCAAAACTATGACATCTGTCAAGGTCATCAAGCCTATGGCATCTGTCAAGGTCATCAAGCCTATGGCATCTGTCAAGGTCATGAAGCCTATGACATCTGTCAAGGCCATGAAGCCTATGACATCTGTCAAGGCCATCAAGCCTATGACATCTGTGAAGGCAATGAAGCCTATGACATCTGTGAAGGTCATGAAGCCTATGACATCTGTCAAGGCCATGAAGCCTATGACATCTGTCAAGGCCATGAAGCCTATGACATCTGTGAAGGCAATGAAGCCTATGACATCTGTGAAGGCAATGAAGCCTATGATCTCTACACAGATGTCCACCTACCTCATTCCAGGTTGTCACCCAGCAAGCGATCACGTGCTCCGTGGTCACGTGACCAGAAGTCGAGTCGGGTCACCCCAGACAAGTGACTCTAC